GCCCGGCTTAAAGTCTGTTTTATCGGAGACTAGGATTGCAACCCCCCTTTTTTTTTGCTCTCCGTTTTCTTGATAAATCTTCCTCCATCCCTTTATTTTGAGTCTATATGTGTCTTTGCACGTGAGATGGGTTTCCTGGATACAGCACACAGATGGGTCTTGACTTTTTATCCAATTTGCCAGTCTGTTTCTTTTGATTGGGGCATTTAGCCTGTCTACATTTAAGGTTAATATTGTTATGCATGAATTTGATCCTGCCATTTTGATGCTAGCTGGTTGTTTTGCCTGTTAGTTGACGCAGTTTCTTCATTGTGTCAATGGTCTTTACCATTTGATACATTTTTGCAGTGGCTGGTACTGGTTGTTCCTTTCCATATTTAGTGCTTCCTTCAGGAGCTCTTGCAAGGCAGGCCTGGTGGTGATGAAATCTCTCAGCAATTGCTTGTTTGTAAAGGATTTTATTTCTCCTTCACTTATGAAGCTTGGTTTGGCTGGATATGAAATTCTGGGTTGAAAGTTCTTTTCTTTAAGGATGTTGAATATTGGCCTCCACTCTCCTCTGCCAAGGGTTTCTGCCAAGAGGTCTGTTGTGAGTCTGATGGGCTTCCCTTTGTGGATAACTTGACCTTTCTGTCTGGCTGCCCTTAGCATTTTTTCCTTCATTTCAACCCTGGTGAATCTGACAATTGTGTGCCTTGGGGTTGTTCTTCTTGAGGAATATCTTTGTGGTGTTCTCTGTATTTCCTGGATTTGAATGTTGGCCTGCTTTGCTAGGTTGGGGAAGTTCTCCTGGATAATATCCTGAAGAATATTTTCTGGCTTAGTTTCATTCTCCCCGTCATATTCAGGTACACTGATCAAACGTAGACTAGGTCTTTTCACATAATCCCATATTTGTCGGAGGCTTCATTATGTCTTTTCACTCTTTTTTCTCTCATCTTGCTTTCTCATTTTATTTCATTGAGCTGATCTTCAATCTCTGAGATCCTTTCTTCTGCTTGATCGATTCGGCTATTGAAACTTGTGTATGTTTCGCAAAGCTCTCGTACTGTGTTTTTCAGCTCCATCAAGTTGTTTATATGCTTCTCTAACCTGGTTATTCTAGTTAGCATTTCATCTAATCTTTTTTCAAGCTTCTTAGTTTCTTAGCATTGGGTTAGAACATGTTTCTTTAGCTCAGAAAAGTTTGTTATTACCTACCTTATGAAGCTTCCTTCTGTCAATTCGTCGAAATCATTCTCCATCCAGTTTTGTTCCCTTGCTGGTGAGGAGTTGTGATCCCTTGGAGAAGGAGAGGCTTTCTGGTTTTGGGTGTTTTCATCCTTTTTGTGCTGGTTTCTTCCCATCTTCGTGGATTTATCTACCTTTGGTCTTTGAAGTTGGTGACTTTTGGATGGGGTCTCTGAGTGGACATCCTTTTTGTTGATGTTGGAGCTATTTATTTCTGTTTTTTAGTTTTCCTTCTAACAGTCAGGCCTCTCTGCTGCAGGACTGCTGGATGTCCACTCCAGACCCTGCTTGCCTGGAAATCACCCTCAGGGGCTGCAGAACAGCAAGGATTTCTGCCTGTTCCTTCCTCTGGTAGCTTCATCCCAGAAGTCAGCCAGATGTCAGCCACAGGTCTCCTGTATGAGGTGCCTCTTTGGATATATGGGGGTCAGGGAGCCCCTTGAAGAGGCAGTCTGTCCCTTATCAGAGCTCAAGTGCTGTGCTGTCCCATTCAGAGCTGCTGGGCAGGGACTTTTAAGTCTGCTGCAGTGGAACTCACAACACCTCCTTTCCCAGGTGCTTTCTCCTGGAAGGTGGGGCTTTATTTATAAGTCCCTGACATGTTGCTGCCTTTTGTCAGAGATGCCCTGCCCAGCAAGGAAGGAGTCTAGTCACAGTCTGCCTGCAGAGGTGTTGCTGAGGTGCTGCGCGCTCTGTCCAGCTCCTGTGTAAACATCCTTGCGGTTTTGTTTACACAGTTAAGGTTAGAACTGCCTCGGTAATGGTGGACTGCCTCAGTAATGGTGGACGCCCTTCCCCACAGAGAGCTCCACCATCCCAGGTCAAGCTCAAACTGCTGTGCTGGCTGCAAAACTCTCAAGCCAGAGCGTTTCATATTGCTGATCTTTGTAGGGGTGGGATCTACCAAGCCAGACCACCTGGCCCTCTGCCTTCACCCCCCTCTTTTTCAGGGGAGTGTGTGGCTCTGTCTCACAGGTGTTCCAGGCACCAGTTGAAACAGCCACCCAGATTTGTGTGGGTTTTTGTGCTGGAAACCTGTGGTGCTTGTTGGCCTGTGGATATCTCCTGGTCTGTGGGCTGTAAAGACCCGTGAGAAGCCCAGTAACTGAAACGGAGTGTCGGAGTGGCCAGAAGAGCCCCCGAGGGCCTCTGTTGGGTAGGAGTGGGGGGTCCTCCAGTCTGCTGCACTTCCCAGGTGAGGCAGCACCCCACCCTGCCTCAGCTCACCCTCCTTGGGCTATACCCACTGTCCAGCCAGTCCCATTGAGATGCACCTGGCACCTCGGTTGGAAATGCTGCAATCACTCTCTCTCTGCATCACTCTCACTGGGAACTGTGCTCCGGAGCTGTTCCTATTCGGCCATCTTGGTGGAGCTCTCTTAGTCTGTTCTTGTATTTCTATTAAAAAATACCTAAGACTGGGTAGTTTATAAGGAGATTTAATTAGCACACAGTTCTGCAAGCTATACAGAAAGTTTGGAGCCAGAATCTGCTTCTGGTGAGGACCTCAGGGAGTTTCTAGTCATGGCAGAAGGTGAAGGAGGAATAAGGCACATTACATGGTGAGAGGAGGAACCAGAGTTAATCTACTTTCAGTCTTGGAATTTCTAAGATTGCTAATTCACCAAGGTCAGTAACCTTTCAGAGTTTCCCACATCTTTTAGAGTTTTGTGTTTCAAAAATATATGCCAAGAATAATTCTAAAAGGAGCTTTGGAAAAAGGGCAGTGGATGTCCTCTGCTCCGTCCCCAACCTTGCCTTTTAATTGGTCCTCTTTGGAAGCAATACAAAGAACAGATGTGATTAGCCCCAAGGCGCGGGCCCAGGCCCAAGCTGGACACTCGCATGATGCTGGTGCTTCCCTCCACGTGTAGTTCCAAGACCAGGCCCTCAACATGGCCTCATCAGTGCATGCACCAGCCACCTAGCTTGCATCCTGATTCCTCTGGAGGCAGGGACTCTATTCTTTATGTTATTTTTTTCCCACCACATGCTTTGCATGTAATAAACACCAGTAAGTTTGGAAAGAAAACCTTAGAATTGTTTTAACTTTTATTGTTTAGGACTTCTTGTACTCTCCACCTTCTCCCAGTTTGAAATATTGTTAATGTGCATAAAAGAAGCATAGAGTCCCATAAACTGAGCAGCTTACCATTTGGGAGACTCTGGTAACTCAGGTTACTCTGTCTGTAACCTGAATCTCCCATTGCGTATCCCTTTTTTTCCTCGATTTTTTCTCATTTGCATTTAGGGGATAAGTATCAGAAGCTATGACATTTGTTCGCTCGTTCAATGATTATTTTAGAGTACACATGTACCAGGCACTGTTCTATGTGTTGAAAATAAAACCTGAAGAAAAGACATAAAGATCTCATACCTCCTGACGCTGACATGCCAGTGCATTCTAGTTTGCTTTTCCATGAGGAATGGAAGTCAGTGTAAACAAGTGCTTCCCAAGACCCCTCCTGGGGGCGTACTGATTAAAGTACTTGGTTCCAAGCTGTTCATCAGTAAGACGCGGACAGCGAGAAAGGAGGCGGCACTGCCTGGACCAGGCATCATCTTCCGAAAGGCTCAGAGGCCTTGCCCAGTGTCCTCATTGCCATGGCTTCACAGGAGCAAGGACAGGGAAGGTATTATTTCTACTTTACCAATGGAAACCATGGTCCCGTGACCACCCCGCAGTCATGCCCAGGATCCAGAGGCAGAAGCACACTAAAAGCAATGTCTGCTGCTTTCTAAATAGCTTCCTTCAGTGTTCCAGCACTGGAAATTCTTTATGTATAAAAATGAATGTATGGCATTTAAAAATACAAAAAGATAAGTTCTTCAAATTTCTGAGAACTTTTCTTTCTTTCTGGTTTTTTTTTTTAAGTCTTGCTGTGTTGCCCAGGCTAGAGTGCGGCTGGGTGATCTCAGCTCACTGCAACCTCTGACTCCTGGATTCAAGCGATTCTTCTGCCTCAGCCTCCCAAGCAGCTGGGATTACAGGCACATACTACCATGCCTGGCTAATTTTTATATTTTTAGTAGAGACGGGGTTTCACCATGTAGGCCATGCTGGTCTCAAACTCCTGACCTCAAGTGATCTGCCTGCCTCGGCCTCCCAAAGTACTGGGATTACAGGCATGAGCCACTATGCTCAGCCTTTTTTAAATCTAAATAAGAAGCCAATTTGTTGGCTTATTCATTCCTCAGGGGAGTACATTTTCTGGACTGTCATAATTTGGCTGACTTTGAACACTTTATAAAGTATGCAAAATAAATTTTAGGATTCATCTGATTGCTTTTCCTAGAGCTAGTAATAATAAAACTAGTGTGGAGTTTCTGTGTTTTGTGAGGTTTCTCACAGCATCCTTGATCTTACTGTAAAACAGTGTCCATGTGGTAACCTTGCCTGAAGCAAGGTTTTGGAGCAGCAAGATTGACATTAGATGTGGATGTTTGTGTTGTGGGCTATTAAGACCACACACACTCTCACATGCACATACTCACACATGCATACACTCATAGTCACCTGTCCTTGTGACTTAGAATTCGACGTTGGAGAGAAAGTGTTTCCCTTAAGGGAATATTTTGAGGCGAAAGAAATGACCACATTCTGTAATCCTGCAGCCTGAAAACAGACTCCTGCTGAAGGAAGTTGGACCCACAGGGGAAGGAAGAGTCTCTGTGATTGAACAGTTGCTGGATGAAGTAAGTGTCGCCAAAGGCGCAAGTGTCCCTGAAGAGTTTAGCCTGGCATTCCGCCTCTGTCTCCTTCAGATGGAAGTTTGGTTCAGTACTATGAAAATTACACTGCCCTTTGATTAAAAACCAGGGATAGAGTGAATGGCTAGTCAAAAGCTTTACATTAATTAATTGTTTCCTGTTGCTAGTTTTTATATCAGAGAAAATAGACAAGCACAGAGGAGATCAAGGAGCATGCATGATGCTGAATAGCATCTCTGGCCTGTGACCCCATAATACCTTTATCCTGGGCTTCCTAAAGAAACAAGGTAGTCAGGGTGCCTCCCCTCCCCTCCCCACCCATGTTGGGAACAGAAGTTTTGTCACCTGGGCAACTTTGTAGCTCTGTTCATTGTTGGTCAGATCTTGAGGTTCCTGGTTCTCCTCTCCTTTGATCTGAAAGCACTTTAGTTCCATTAGCTCTGTGAAGGACATCTGTCATACGTCATAGGATGGCAGCTGGATGCTGTTGAGTGCAGGGTTTTGTGGCGATTTTGTCCTTGTCCATTTGCTGCAGGGAGCAGACCCCAACTGCTGTGATGAAGACGATCGACCCGTCATAACAGTGGCTGTTATGAATAAGCACCATGAAGCGATTCCAGTTCTCGTGCAGAGAGGAGCAGACATTGACCAGCAGTGGGGGCTGTAAGTGAAACACATCGAAAGGAGAGCTAAGGTAGCAGCAGGCTAACTGCCTGGACCTCCACTGTGGCAGAAGAAGTCTATTTACATGCCCTGTTCAGTTTCAGCCTCTTTAACCATTTTAACCTATATCAGCTTTAATAAGAGGCTTAACACCTCCTCTTTTCCATAGCTGGGTAAAGTGAAATTTTAAAAATGGACTATTGGGTTGCCTAATTTTGTGGCTTTTATAAATGCTGATGCATTTTGTTAATTCATAATCTTATGCTGTGTGGGGCCAGTAAATCCTTAGCCCTTGGGGTGTTAACCAATGTTTTCATCATGAATCATGATAATACCAAGGAAAGACAGACCTCAGTATATTCCCTGTGGAAATATCCTCATGAAGTTAATGCAGAAAGAAAATGTCATACGGCTGTCTCCAGATCTAACACCACTGTGGAGGAGACGGGTACATCTGAGGTCACCACAGGGTCTCCTGCGGCTTTGCTTTCCCACCTATGAATGATACAAGACACAAAGGTGCCAAGTCCTGTTACTTACTGTCTCAGTCTCGGTCCACTCCTGTCTCATAACCTTCTCTTCCAGCCTTATGTTTCTATTGTTCTTTTGCAAATTACTTTGAAAACGCGGGGTGAAAATTTCCTTGAGCATAGGTCATTCATGTTAACTGCTCATATCTTGCTGACCGCATTGTTGAAATAAGTCTTCTCGGGACATCACAGGCATCTAACACCACTACCTCCTGAAGTCTTACTAAGGCAAGATCAGGGTCTGCGTCACCGGAACATTCTGCTGTGTATCTTATGCCACCACAGAGGCCAAAATTGCAGTAGCTTTGCTTCTATTATTCTCTGTTTCAAAATTGTCTCTGGTGTTAGTGTTCAAAATATAATCCTGTTAATTTTTCCATATGCATTTTACTAATTTCTGCATTTTAGTAGTTTCTACCTTTTTTAGTTTTATTTTACAGCAGAATGTTTGGTATGTTGGTATAAAGCTCTGATGGCTGGAATTTATTTTCTCAAGTCTTCTTAGAGTTTACTGTGTCAAGTTCTTCATTTATCCCACACTGTTTTATTATCGTCATTATTAATAAAATGGTGCTACCTTGTTTTGTGTTGAGGCATATTTTATATTTTTATAATTCAGAAAAGCTTTTTAAATAGCATTTAAGTATGTTTGTGGTTGATACAAAAATGACTTGAGCACGTTTTGAATTGAAGTGTAAGCCGCGTGAGTCCTGGCTTTATGAAGAGTCCAGCTAAGAGGAGGAAAATGCCCCGGGCATTGAACAGATGGCTTTTTTATTTTCCTGTGCCTCAGCTTCCATGACTGCTTCATCACCATTCTACAAACTGGCATTTATCCACATGTGATCTCATTGCATGTCCGTAAAGTCTGACACTGCGGTCATACCTGTCTATCTTAATGGTGTGTAATGGCCTTTGTCACTCCCAGTGCGTGATCATAGTGACAGTGAGCAGTATGTAGCTCACATGGTTGCAGGGAGAAAAGCTAAAGCGTTGGCCCTCTCTCAAATAGAGCACAGGATCTCTTCTTCCTTTCCAGTGCATGCCAGAAGAGGAAAGAAGCATTTCCCCCTGAGAGCCAAGTCTGATTTATATCTGTTAGTTTCAAGAGTTTGGGCCTGGATCACCCCAGCCCAAATAGCTAGACTTCTGGAGACCCAGGAGCATGATCTCAAAGTTCCATGCATCCTATTGCTTTTAGGCATAAGTCATCCAGAGATCTGTCTTTACCATAAAAGAGGCTCAGAGAGTTGTTCCTTAGCAAACAAGAATTAAAATGCTCTCTTCCATCCGAGCATGTTTGGCTAGTGGAGGCTTGGTGGTCCCTACACCAGATAACTTCCGTTAAGTAGCTTGGCAGGTGGCAGAAATCTCTTTCCTAATTTCCTGGTTCCATGTTTGTATCATTCGTACCAGAATGAACTCATACTCAGCAAAAGGGAATGGCTAGGAGAAATTCACATCCTCCACCAAAGCTCATGCCTCTTACTACCAGATTGCAGAAGCACAGATTCCATATCTCACTAGGTGAGAGGCCCAGAGAAATGCTGTTTGCTTTTGGACAAGAGCTGCCCTTCCTCACTGCATTGGTGATTCCAAACATGCCATCGCCTGGCTCTGCCCCAGTAGCCAGGTAAGGAAGATGCACGCATCAGTCTACTTCTGAGAGGTTCAACTGTGGACATTTATTCTATTAGGCAATTTAAGGAGAGAATGTATCATCTTATCATGACACTTAGATTCAAGTAAATAGTTTGAATTGTTTGTATCTTTAAAATACAAATTCCATGCAGAGTCACCATTCAGCATTTTCCAAAACGGAACTGTGGCTACATAGGAAACAGCCAGCACAGAAAATCTAACCACCAGCAAACGCCCCGTGCAATAAATAGAATGAATACCCTTCTCTCAATTTGGGGAGAATAGTGAAGAAAGAAGATCATAAGTCTACTTAGGAGATGTGGCAACCCTATGAATATATCCCAGTTCAAATGGTAAATGCCTTATAAAAACCCAAGGAAGCACAGCGGTGAAGTGACAGACAGTTAAGCTCTATGCCACCCGTCAGGAAGAAAGGATGAAAGATAAGGAGGAAATGGAGTCTTTTCCGGACTAAGTCCAATTAAATCTCTTTCTTTTGTAAATTGCCCAGTCTTGGGTATGTCTTTATCAGCAGTGTGAAAATGGACTAATAGACTAGCATACAGCATAGCCGTGAACATTCTATGGCATATTCTTCCTTTACGATCTGTTTATTTGTTCTTTCTGAAAGCATTTATCCTTGATGTTCTGAGATTTCACAAGGGCATTTTTAGATGTGCTGTTTTTGATTCACCTAGTTGACCTTTTCAATTTAAAAAGTCATGTCTTTCTTTAGGTTAGGAAAAAATTATCCTATTATCTCTTTGGCATTTTCTCCCCTCCATTTTTCTATTCTCTTTCTAGAACTATTATAGAATAATAGTTGGTGGATGGCGGACTGCTAGAATCAATTCCCTGTCTCTTTCTTCTTTGTTTTTCCATAGTTTCATCTATCTTTTTCTCTTCTATCTTTTGGGAGATTTTCCTAACTTTGTTTTCCATTCTTCCTATTGAGTAATCCTTATTTCAATAATCATATTTATTCTTTCTAGGAGCTACTTTTGTTCTGATTGTTTCTTTTTTATAGTCTCATATTTTTGTGCAATATTGTCTTGAATCATTCCGCAGATACCAATTGGATTTTTATCTTGTTTTAAATTCCTTGTGTTTGTGTGTCTTGGTTTTATCTTTGGTTCTGCAGGTTTTTCTCAGATGTCTGTGAGCCTTTCTTGTCCATTCACATTTGAGAAAGGAGAATGGACTAGATGACTGGTAATTCTGTATATAAGAGAAGGGCTTTGTCAACCAAGAGGCTTTCTGGGTAAATGGAGCTACTCCCAGACTGGGACCCCCGGTTCCAAAAAGTGGAAGCCTTCCCTGTGATTTTTCACCAAAGGCTCTCTTTATCTTCTTCAAGAGAAGAAGCCACTATCCTTTTTCTCCGTTGGGATAAATGCATGGCTGCAGGCATATCTGCAGGTGTGGGGGAAAAGAGACGGCGTCAAAGAAAGGAGCAGGGGCAGAGAAAGTTCAGACCTTCAATGCCTATCTCATTTCCACTTTCAGTCATGACTCCTGCCCTCCTTCACTCCTGCCACCAATATGTTGCATAAACTCTTGCAGGCAATTTAGAAAAATGGTATTTATTAGCATTTATTAAATCAACTACCAACCACATCCTTGTGGGTTTCTGGCATTAAAAAATGAATGTGTTTATAACCTTTTCACTCTCTAGTATCAAAGCTTACCCTCCATCCCAGTATTCCTTCAAGAGAAGGGCAGAGATGGGACTCAAGAGATTTTCCCAGGTTAGTTAAATAGGTCAGTGAGCAAAACCAAGACCTTGGGTCACATGCAGTCTCTCCAGTTTTCTGATGATGCTAACTAAGGATTTATCCAGGATTCTTCTTTTTTCCCTCTAATTAGGCTCAGAAATACAGCTCTTCATGAAGCAACTCTGCTTGGTCTTGCAGGAAAAGAGAGCATCGCCACTTTACTGGGGTATGTCCCCTTGCCTCTGATGGATACTTTTGAGGGCCACAGGGATCTCTCTAAAGGCCTGTGATGATTTTAAGAGGAGCCTGGGTTCCTGAACTGCTGTCCCTGTCTGTGGGAACCACCATCCCACCATAGCTCCCAGGGCACTAAGGGCTTTTCAAAGCACAATGAAAATGTCGCTCCCATTAAACAGACTTGGTTGTAGGACTTTAATGCAATGGGAACCAATGGCCAGGATTAGCAATTGGACATTTTGAAATCACAGAGCCTCTTTAAAGGCTTCAGGATAGAGCCACCCCAGAGAGCTGAAGTCATGGTGGCCTCTTGGGGACAGGTTTGTGGAGGTGGGACCAGGAGGTGCTCAGACTGGCCTCCACGGCAGGGAAGAGTCAAGCTCTTAGGGTCACATGCTCAAGTCCGTCAGTGCACCTCCATTTCTCCGTTTCCTTTGCAGATGCAATGCAAGCATCCGAAAGAAGAATACAAGAGGCCAGACAGCGTACGACCTGGCTCTAAACACTGGAGATGACCTCATCGCCTCACTCTTTGCTGCCAAGTTTGGCCAAGGGCCCGAGGACCAACTCGCCCAAACTAGGAGCCTCAGCCGGGATGACTGTTAGACCTGAGACCTCCACGGGGCTTCATTTAAGAATAGGTACAGCTCTGGCTATTCTTCAGTCGTGTCTTTCTGAAATGTGTATTTGAGATTAGAAATTGAGGTTGAGAGGAACTCATGAGATTATTATTATTTTTAATCGTATGACAGTATAAGTCATCAGTACTAAATGGACAGCTCCCAGTATACTGTGGACTGTGATAAAATGAATGTATGTTTTTTAATGGTTTATTGCTGCTGTTTTTCTTTGTATTTGATTTTTAGTTTTTAACTTATTTTTCAGTAGATAATAATTGCACATGGTTCAAAGCTAAAAGGTATGAAGTATTATGTAGGGATGTGTCCCTCCCATCCTGTCCCACAGCTACCACTTCCCTCCTCAGTCACCAGTGACACCAGTGTTGACTTCTCTTTCCAGAGATCATGCAGAGTTAGATATGCACATACATGTGGTGTAAGCACACGTACATAAGACTACACATAGAATCTAAACATGTGTATAGCACATATATATTCTTTAGCCTCTGTTAAAACAAATAGTACCAAACCAGCCACACACTGTTCTTCATCCTCTTTTTGCTTGATACATCTTGTAGGTGCTTCTAATTAGTATGTAAAGATTGATCTTATTTAAATTTTTTTTGTCTGTGGAAATCATCAATATTCCCATCATTATGGTTTGTTTTTTGGTTGACACATCGGTTCTCAATAAACCACTTGCAGGAATGTGTAATTTTGACTCATTCCTTTCTTCAGGTCATTATTTTAATCTTTGGGTGGTAATGCTGCAGTTGTGAAGTCCCTAACTAGTTTATGGGAACTCAGAGAAGGCAGCTCTTTGAAGTTGCTGATGGCTGGAGGCCATCTGCTGCCGCACTCACTACAGCTGGGGCAGCAAGCCCTGCCTAGAAAGGGGATATGGGTGTTGCATCTCTGCCTGCCTTGGAGCTGCATAGGTGCCTGACCCAGGCTGCAAGACAGCTGAGGGCAGAGATCAGGGGGACCCGGTAAAGCTATGGTCCTGGCTGCTGCCCACACCTGCCAGATAAGCCAGCAGTTAGTGACTCAAGCCACATGTCCGCCCTGGATCTGGTCCTACGGCCATGTCCTCCCAAGGCCTGGCTGCTCTTCCTGGAGGGGCTGTCTCTGCTCTGTGGCCTTGTCCTGTGTCCCCAGTGGGCTCTAGTGGCCTGGCTTTCCATTCCCTCCTTTCCACTGAGTGAGTTCCCATGTGCTCATTGCCCATTTGGTTTCTTCTATTTTTCTTATTGACTCAGAGGATTTCTTTATAACCTCTTGAATCAGAGCACCTTCTAGAGGCCAGACAGTGCTGTCCAATAGAAATATAATCTGAGCCACATGTACAATCATACATTTTCTATAGCTATACTTCTAAAAGTACAGAGAAGCAAGCAAAATTAATTTTACTGGGATACATGGACAGATACTTTTCAAAAGAAGACATACACGTGGCCAGAAAGCATACGGAAAAAAAAAGTCTAATTGTCACTGATCATTAGAGAAACGCATATCAAAACCACAATGAGATACCATCTAACACCAATCAGAATGGCTATTTTTAAAAAGTCAAAAATAACATGCTGGAGAGGTTGTGGAAAAAAGGGGACGCTTATACACTGTTGGTGGGAGTTTAAATTAGTTCAACCGTTGTGGAAATTAGTGTGGTGATTCCTCAAAAAGCTAAAAATAGAAATACCGTTCAACTCAGCAATCTCGTTATTGGGTATACACCCAAAGGAATAGAAATCATTCTACCATAAAGAAACATAGCAGCACCATTCACAATAGCAAAGACATGGAATCAATCTACATGTCCATCAATGACAGATTGGATAAAGAAAATGTGGTACATATACACCATGAAATACACTATGCAGCCATAAGAAGGAACGAGAACATGTCTGTTGCGGGAACATGGATAGAGCTAGAGGCCATTATCCTTAACAAAGGATAATGCCTTATCCTTAACAAAGGATAAGCAAATTAACACAAAACAGAAAACCAAATATCACATGTTCTCACTTATAAGTGGGAGCTGGCTGGGAGCAGTGGCTTATGCCTGTAATCCCAGCACTTTGGGAGGCCAAGGTGGGTGGATCACCTGAGGTCAGGAGTTGGAGACTAGCCTGGCCAATGTAGTGAAACCCTGTCTCTGCTAAAAATACAAAAATTAGCCAGGCGTGGTGATGGTTGCCTATAGTCCCAGTTACTCGGGAGGCTGAGGCAGGAAAATTGGTAAACCCAGGGGACAGAGGTTGCAGTGAGCCGGGATCGTGCCATTGAACTGCAGCCTGGGTGACAGAGTGAGACTTCGTCTCAAAAAAAAAAAAAAAAAGTGGTTTTGTTCAATTCATTCACTTCAGAGAACAACAACAACAAAAAAGTGGGAGCTAAATTATGAGAACAAATGGACACAAAAAAGGGGACAACACCCACTGGGGCCTCTTGTAAGGTGGAGACTGGGAGGAGGAACAGGATCAGAAAAAATAACAATTGGGTACTAGGCTTAGTACCTGGGTAAAAAAATAATCTGTACAATAAACCCCCGTGATATGAGTTTACTTATATAGCAAACCTGCACGTGTACGCCTGAACTGAAAATAAAAGTTTTAAAAACATTTTACTAGAATATTTTTCAACTTATAATTCTAAATTATTAATGTAATATTATAATTCTAAATTATTAATGTAATATTTTATGTATTTTATATTATTTTTTCACACCAAGTCATTGAAATCTGGTGTGCATTTTACCCTTACAGCACATCTTAATTCGATTCACCACATTTTAAATGCTCACTACCTGCACAGGGGGGCTGGTTACAGCATAGTTTTAGAACCTTCTACCTGTGTGATAACATACACGGAGGTCATTGCATTCTGATTCCCACCCCACTAGGATACCAGCAGCACAGATAATGCTCATTTGAAGCTTGCATCTCTGTGGTTGGTGGGTTTTCCATGTCTAATCCAGGAAGAGTTCCTCCCCATCACCTGTGCAAGGCCTCTGCTTCAAGTGCTCTCATCAAGGTGCCCAGTAGGATAAAGAAAATTTACAGGGTCATTTACTTCTGTTGTCTCCAAGGCATCTCTTCGGAGGACCTCAAGAACTCACATCACTTGCTTCCTTTCCAGCTTCTGTTTCTGACTGCTTTGGAGCCAGGTTTTTGCTTTTTCCCGGCTAAATAGAAAATAAAGAGCATCTGTTGGATTCTCCTCCACCTTCCTGTTCTTCAAGCAAATGCAAACCTAGCCTTCCTTTGTGGTTTGCTAAGGGTAGGGCCTTGTGGGAACATAGAATGGACAAGGTAAAGTGACCCATTTTCTGCTCTCCCCTCCTTTTTCATTGTAGACCCCAAAAAGAGAGTCAATAGGCCACATACCTTTGTCTCTCAATGAACAGGAGATGAAGTGCGTTTACCTTCTCAGATGCACTGCAGATGCAGTTAACTGCTGTGTGTTTTTCTGAATGGAACGAACAGGTGCCTGGGCCTGCAGAGCCACTTGGGGGCTGCATCTTCAATGAAGACGGGTGCCCAGCTGGTTGCTGCTTCTGCCTTTCCTTGTCACTGCCGCTTCTGGTCCTGCTGCTGGAGGCCAGATCTGGGTGAACCGAGTGTGGGAATTCAACCCAGAATCTAGATTTAGACTGCTAAGTATGTCCACAGAGTTCCCGAAATAGATCAGCACCTGCTTCTGGAAGGCAGAGCATTTGGACATTCCTTGGGAACACTCCTGAGATGTCTTGGTTCTTATTTGAATTGCTAACAAAAACACAGTTCCATCTCTCATCTCTTCCCTCTCCTTCCCCAGTCTCCTTCTTCATCCCCTCTCCCTCGGCCACTTTTTCAACCCATTTCCCTCAATTCCTTACCCGACCCCCAAAACTTCCTCCATGTACCCCTTCCTTCCCCCAGGCCCCACTTTCCTGTCCACATGGCTTCTGGCTTTTCTCTCTCTTGGAAGTGATGGAGTAAATGCATGGTATTATTTATCCAAATTAATTGACTCAAAATTTCCCTTTCACTTTCAATGAACCCTACTCTTTTAGTAGTGACATTTTCTGTTCACCTAGACTACATAAATTTTACTTGCTGTATTTCTGTTAGTAAGGATATAAATCCCCTAGCTTTAATAGAACATTGTAATTATAAATACAAGTTATTTTCAAATCTTTATGCATAAAACTGAAATTCTTATAGTGAAAACTAAGAATAACGTTTTGAATTGTACAAAAAGGGGAAGTCCCATTTCTGTGGCTCCCATAATCCTCAGCAATAATCACTGTTAGTGTGTGTGCAGGCCAGGCGCGCGGTGGCTCATGCCTATAATCCTAGTGCTTTGGGAGGCTAAGGCAGGCAGATTGCATGAGCCCAGGAATTTGGGACCAGCCTAGGCAACATGGAAAAACCCCATCTCTAAAATAAAAATAGAAATAAAAATAAAAAATAGCGTATGTGAAGCCTTTGGAAACATTTATCTTTCTCTGCAATTTAACTCCATATAAAATATATAGTTTTCTTAAAGTTTGAATACAATATAATTATTCTGTAATTGGTTTTACTCATTTATACATCTTGAGGACCTTAACATTATTTGTGAATTGACTTAATTCTTTTTAAGTGTTTTTTTTTAAAAATATATAAAACATAGACACACACCATTATTGTTTTAACAGAGCTAATCAACATTCCTAGTCATGTGTCAGTATTTTGTGAAGACAGATACAAAGTAAAATTACTGGATTTAAGACTATGCATATTTTGAATTTTAAAAGATATTACCAAAATTTCCCTCATGAGAGTTGACTGTCCCACCAAAGTATGACTTTCTCCACCACTCCCCAGTTTTGCAGATCAAACACACAAGACTGACGTTAGTTAGTTACTTACTTATTAATTAATTAATTAATTTTTGCCTCTTCCTGATTTCTTATTAAGACTAGCTCTTCCTGGGTTAAGCGTTGGTAGGTACTTCCACGACTCAGTCATTCACGTGCATTGCCACTTTTTTACTGGATAATTTCTCACTGGATAATTTCTATTAAATAGTTTCTCATTGCTGTAATGTCAGATTTCTTTACATATTCCTTACACTTGGATAATGCAGGGTGTCCTTGCCTTTTCTTTATATATATTGTCTACTGTCTAATAAATGATTTATAGATTTGTTTTGTCAAATACTTCAGTATTTTTTAGGACTTCTGAGATCTTTGACTTGCTAAAGTTCTCCACTATTCCAAAATCAAAACATTTTCTTCTTATATTCTCTTCTAATATGTAAATCCTTGTCTGCTTTATTTTGCTTTTCAGTTTATTTGGCATTTATATTTCTAAATGGTAGACAGACTGAAGTTTACTTTTTCCAAGTGGGCAACCATCCCTTGTGCCAGTACAGTTTTGGGTCACTCATCTTTTCCACACTGGTTGAAAGGCCACCTTTATTTAGCATACCCTGAATTCTCTTGTGTACAAAGGTCTGACTTGATTATTGTAAAAGTTCTATAAATATCTTTAATCAATCCTATTGTCCTGCTTCAAAAAATTATTTACTATTCATAGAGTTTCTTCTCTTCACAAACTAGAGTTAGTCTATGAAAACTCTTACGATTCTTTTTAGATTTAATTGGGAATATAATGGAATTTAGACATATTTGAGGGGGAATTGAGACTTTATTAATAAAAAACCATTGTAATCTTTATATTTATTCTTGACTTCTTTT